ACAGGAGGCATTTCTGGAGTCCACCAAAGCCCTGGCACCCTCGGCCACCTATGCTGCCCGCAAGAATCCGCTTCCTGGACTCTGGGGCCGGGCTGCACTCCATGGCTCCTCCTGACACCTCCTCCAACCGCAGGAGGGGCCGTGTAGGTCACGGGCAGCAGAGGCCAGTACAAAATCCAGAAGCTGGCATTCAGTGTTCACCAACTACCGTAAGGCTAGGTCCTGAGAGCTGAGACCACCAGCCCTTTCGCAGTGTAGACACTGCAAGAGTACAGATGACTCCCAATTTGTAATAGCTCCCCTGAAAGCCCTCTGACACAGGACCTTGACAAGCCCAGACAGACACTGGCAACAAGGGGACCCCGGGAGCATGTCCCCCACCTTGCCCCAAAGGCATTGTCCATGCAGCTCTTTCTTCTTCACCCCATACTCACCCCTCCCTCCAGAGTCTGCATGGAGGCTCTACAGCCCCCCGGGCGCCTCTGGCACGGCCCGCCCCAGAAGGTGGCGCATCACAACTGGAGGGGCCGCCATCGCTGTCCACAGTGCCGTTTTCCTGCCCACTGATCCTCTGCCGCTAATCAAACCCAGTCCAGAAAGAAATTACAGCCCGCTTCTTGTTCTGGTATGAAATGTGCAAAGCACAGACCATATCATTAACATAAAACTTCCAGAAATAAGGCCACTTTCCAGACAGACTGTATTAATTGTATCAAGCCTCACAGCTAGGGTGGTCTAATCCATGGCATCTCATTGGACAGCGCCAGCTATAAAACCAACACAGAGTGAACACTGGGATATAATTGAAGGAGGAGAAAACGACAGATTCTACTGTTAAACCCTACTATTTACTTACAGGTATTCTTTTATCTTTATTGTCCCTTTAACCCATGCCAAGAAACCCCAGACTAGTTAAATAACACAGCAAGCACAATTTCAGTAGAAAAGTAAATTGAATTTAACTTTACAAGATTGCCCTGTGATTTCAGTATATACTAATGGCTGCAACTGACTCCCTCTACTAAACCCAAACACTTCTACCTCCCTAGGCCGGAATCCTGTATGTTCTTGTGTGAGACCCTGAACTTCACTGCAGCCGATGAGGCCCGAAGCTCTTCAATGTGCAACGAAGAGCCTCAGTTTCCCCTCCACCTCCTGACGCTGGTGCACCATCTGGGACAGCCAACAGGCTCACTGCCTTTAAGCACGGACCAGGAAGCAGCTCAAAGGAAGATACTTGGCAATGCCGGACTTGCAGCACTAGGGTCACCACACCCATTTGGCTCCTGCGTGAATCATCAAGTCTCCAGAGCATTGTTCCCGGCACCTGGCCTGTGAGACCTCATGCAATCCTCAGAAGGACCCTTGGGAACATGGTCAATCATCACCCCATTTTACAGATGGGAAAACTGAGGAAGAGAGGGGGAAATGACTCGTCCAAGGCCACACAGCTACATGCTTCATCCCCTAGCCATCTGCCACACACGGATGACCCCTTTCCAGTCATGGAGGCCTCAAAACGCAGATTGGCAGGGGCAAGGGGGGTGCAGTGGCTCTCAGCTGTCCTCTGCGTACCCCAGCCCTGCCTTGGGACCCCCATCCGTCCCTTGCCCAATCCATCCTGGCAGCCCCACCTTGATTTGCTTCAGAGAGCAACATGAGGAGCCTCATTTTTAAATCTTACACATAAGCCATACTTGACAGTGCACGCCTGTAATCCCAGCGCTCCGGAAGGCTGAGGCAGGAGAATTACAAGTCTGAGCCCAGCCTGGGCAACTCAGCAACTTAGTTAAGACCTTGTCTCAAAATAAAAAATTTTTAAAAACCAGGGCTGGAGATGTAGCTCAGTGCAAAGGACCTGGGTTGAAGCCCCAGTGCCACAAGACAGACAGACAGATCTAGACAGACAGATGTTACACACATGTACACACCTGTACACATATGTATTTCTTCCAGAAGGGGAAACTGAGGCTCCAAGACACCAGCCACGTATTCAAGGCCACCAGCCAGACACACTTAAGGGCCAGGCCACAGCCCAGGGTCAAGACCCACAGCCCCCTGGGAAGATCCTCCAGGGGAATTTCTCATGGGAGATGTTTTAGTCCCCAGGCTGGCCTGGACTCAGTCCATGTGACAGCAGCAGAGTCCAGAGCAGGAGGCCTTGCATTCATTCTTCCCATGCTGGCCTGATCATGGGGAGGCCTGGGGTGGGGTCCCGGGGGACAGCACCATTCGGGACACTGGATATACGCAAGCACACAAACTGTGCCATTTTCTCTTCCCTAAAAACACACCCTTCTATAAACAACTTGGAGCACGTTCGCCGGCATGCAATTAACCTGTGTGAAACACGTTTACACTGGGGATTTCCATATTAATTTGAAGAGATAGGTTCAACGCTTCCTGATCGGAAAAGGCACAAAACAAAGTAAGGGCAGCGGCCCTTTTGCACCCCCATGGTGGACTGCCTCTTCCTAACGGGTTACTGGGAATTGAATGACTCCATTCCAGCTACTAATTAAACAGGCACTAAAAACACTTCAGCAAACAGCCCCGTGCCAGGGACAGAAACCACAAAGGGACAAAAACCACTGAAACAGGAGATTTTCAGGATTGAAATTGAACCAAAACACGGTGGCACAACCTGGTACCGGCTAATTAACAGGGACCAGATCCAGAAGAACATAGATGCGAAGGAGGCATCAGGGCAGAAGGTGGGAAGCAAAAGCAGACTCCACGGAGGGGCTCTGAAGAGGTCCCCACCCCAGAAGGGGGCGTGGCCCTTCCTCGCTCCCCCAGGCCCTGTGGTCAAGCTACTCAGGGACCCTGGGGTCCTGGGAGCTCCCAAGCCCTAAAACCAAGAAAGCCTCAAAGCCAGAAGTCTAGGCAATGCAGAAGACAAGCAGGTGCTGGAGGAGGGCCACTTCCTCTCTGCCTGCCCAGCAATCGCCTCCCGGGCCACACCCCAAACAGGTCCCCATGGCCTCTCGTCCCCACCAGACTGCCAGCCACAGCCTGCCAGGACCCACATACCCACCTCCACCTGACTTCACACAGGCCCCAGGAAACAGCTTTGGGCCGAGAGCGAGCAGGGGAATGAATGTGCACTTCCAGACTGTCTCCGAGGCTCAGGGGTAAGGTGGGGAGAGGAAGGCCTCAGGGTACCAAGGAGACGCTCATCATAAAGACCAGGGAAGAGTGTGCGAGGACAGACTGACACTCCATGCACTGGGAGCCAGGGCAGGTGAACCTTCTCGGTGGCCACGGGCACAGGCAGTGTGGCTCAGTGGGAAGGCATAGCACCTTGTCAGGAAGCATTCCAAGGACAAATTCCAGTTCTGCAACCTTGGCCCAGCCGCTCAGCCTCCTGGAGCCTTGGTCCCCGCCCCCTTTTGCAAACCGGGCATGGTAACACCTCCTGCCTGGCAGGACACACAGCTGCCAGGAGGCCTAGCCCGTGAGGGAGGCGCAAGGTCCCCTGGCCAAGTCTGCTTTGGCAGCCTCTAAGGAGGGCCAGAGCCAGCAGAGGGTTAAGCAAACCCCAGCGGTGCGCCGCTGGCGAGGAGATCATGTTTCTACACGCAGAACTTGACCAAGTCCAGTCGTAAACACTCAGGCTGATCTTTGATAGCGTGGCCCCCCGAGTGGCCACAGGGCTGCAGCACTAATTACAGGAAGCCAAGAGCACAGGGCCGCCACCCAGACGGGGCAGGCAGCCCTCACTCAGCAAGAGAGGTCCCCCACCAGGCACAGAGCAGAGCCACAGAGCAGAGCCACCGAGCCGGCATGTGAGCCCCAACCACCTGGAGACCCAGCAGCCCAGGACAGGAGGCATGGGCTGCTGGTGGCTCCAACTCCTTCCCGGGTGGCTATGGCTCTGCTTTGAGCATTTAAGGCACAAGCCCAGTAAGAACCCAGAATTCCCGGTTGAGAGCTAGATCCCCTTATGTCACCACCTGTCCAGCAAGGGAGTACTGAAGGGTGCAGGCCACCCCACCAGCAGGAAGGCCCAGGGAGCTCATCCCCCGGGACAGGGGCTACCTGTGGCCTTTCTTTCAGTGGCTCCATCAGAGATTGTCCTTTAGGACAGCGTCAATGAAAAGCAAAACCTACCCAATAAAAATAGTTTTCCTTTCACAAGTTGAGTCAAGAGAAAGGCTGCAACGTGCCTGGTGACAAAGCAGAGACAAGTTGGCTCTGCCCTAGCTCTGCAGCCGCCCTCTCCCTTCCTGGCCCCTGCCACGAAACCAGGCGACAGCCACTGGCCACGTGAGCCTGTGTCAGCATCCTGGCTCGGCCGGCCACAATGCCGCACTGCACACCCTGCCGTGCCCAGGGGCTGTGAGGAGGCCTTCTGCCCGCGAGCCCAGGGACCCCAGGCCACAGCGGCCTGGGCTTCGTGCAGAGTCAGAGTGGGGAGTGGCAGAGATGTGCGGGTCCGGAGTCTGAGCCCCGCTCCCACACACACCCATAGTGTTTCGCTCCCGCCCCGTGGCCACAGCTTTTTAAAAATCTCCTTTGGAACGACTTTTTTTTTCTCCTCTAAGTTAATGGGCAACACATTGTCCCAAAGAGAAACTCAGCATTTTGGAGGGCTCCCGCGATGCACCCAGACAACCGAGGAATCCTCTCCTAGCCTAGTCTGGGAGGGCGGGGGCGGGGCAAGGGCAGAAGGAAACCTCAGATGTTAAGCGTTATCCAATTAAGCTTTAGCTAAACAGCCCAGAGATGAAATTCGGGGGTGGGCAGTGCACTCTGGGGCAGACTCTCAGAACGGGCGGGGCATGGGGACCTGGGGAACCTCCTGACCCAAGGGGACCAGGCACGGGGCAGCGGTTCTGCTCACATCCTTCACCACTTCCCCTGCGCCCCAAAAAAATGCCTTCTGGGCAAAGGCTGCATTTTTCTCTGTGGGTCCCCACCTTGGGTCCCCAGCTGTGCCCCGGGCCACGTCCCGCCATCCCGGGAGCCCGACCCCCCACCGCGGCGGCGTCTGTTACCTGACAACTGACATTGGCATCCAAAGGGAACCTCCGTCTGACCCTCACCCTGAGTCCCGTCGCCCGACACGGGGCGCGCACTGCAGCAGGGCAGCGGGAAGCAGGGCGGGAGTGTGCCCAGGGCCCGCAGAGGTGAAGCGATCACTGATGTGTGAGGGAGGGAGGAGGAGGCAGCTATAGGGGCCATCGCTGGCAGCTGGGCAGGCCTGCACGGCCCTGGAGAAAAACAATAGAAAAGACTGGTCAGTCGGGCCCTGGACTGCAGAAGGGACTTGGGGCGCGGCAAGGGCCCAGGGTGCAGGGCTGCAGGCCAGCCTTCAAGGGCAGGAGGCCCAGGGGTGCCCAGCCCTGCAAGGAGGCTGAGCAGGGTGCAGGCAGGGGAGAAGGGATCAGAGAAGCGATCGGAGGGCACTGGGGAGAGTCCTGCATCCACAGCTGCCAGGTGGGACTGTCTGGGGCTGGGATCCCTGCTCTGGGGGCCTCATGCAGGTGCCTGGGGCACACGGGTACTGTCGGGCACAAGGGGACTGTCAGGGCCCAGCTCCCAGGAAAGGCCCCCACCCCATGAAGGGTCTTCTGGAGAGAACTGGAGCCGGCTCCAGTTGAGGATCTGTTCTCAAAACTCTGGTCCACCCCTTTCTGGGGCAGCTCAGAGCCATCACTGTCTGCTACAGGAAGATGGGCTCTTTGGACAAATCGGCCTCCGGGGTCTGGACACTGACGCCAGCCTCCTGCCTGGATGAAGACCAGCCGGGGGCCCTCCAGGCCCAGCCAGTGGTACCCACCCCCCAGTGACTCTTAGGCTTCCACATCCTCCTCTCTCCACCGCCCCAGGGAAACTGGGCACTGCCCAGATCCCTCTACTCCGCCCAAGCTGTGAGTCCCGCTCCCCCATGTGACAGCAACAGCAGGGACCAGAGCCAGGCCAGGGCCCCAAGGCTCGCCTGGGCTTCGGGCAAGGCCTGCGTTTGATTTGGCCGTTTATCTTACATGGCTAAGAGACCACCAGGGCAAAACATTTGTGTGAAGCCCTTGCCAAAACCACAAGTGAAGAAGCCCAAATTCCCTGGGTAAATAATTGAGCAGGGAAGCATCAGAGAGACAAAAAGAAAACATCAACAAGGTGATGGGCAGCTGAGCCCAGCAGGCTCCGCCAAGGAGGCTTTGGCCTTCGCCTCCTGACACAGGTCTTCATGGGTGGGGATCTCCCCACTCCACGTCACTGTGCAGGTCCCCCCCCCCCCCGGGAAGAGCCACAGGGCCTGCACACCCACTCCGAGCCAGGAGCTGTCAGTCTTCCACAGCTGAGCTTCCCAACACATCCCTGGGGGCAGGAACTTAGGATGCCCCATGCACGGACCAGGAAACTGGGGCCCGGGCTGCACCAGACTGCAGATCCCAGCAGCCGGCCCCATCAAAACCCCACTACCTGGCTACAAATCCAGGCTCTTTTGTCTGTATCCCTGCTTCTCCAAAATGGGAATCCAGCATCAGGGACATCAGGGCATTTGAGAAGTCTCCCAGCTTGCAGTTTGGGGGCTGTCGATGTCCTGCCAAGATGTCCAACAAAGCGAACCCCAACACTGCTCAGGCCCCTCTATGCCAATGGAGACTTTGTACTCAGCCAGCACAGGCACCCAGGTGTTTCCCAGATGGCCACAGCCCCAGACAGAGTGTGGCCCCAAGCAAGGTCAGCATCGGAGGCCACCACATCACCGGCCACCTCCCATAAGCCTGCCCTGGCCAGTCCTTGCTAAGGCCCTGGCCCTGGGCACTGTGCATTTGGCTCTGTCCATCCCTGGCCTCAAAACGCTACATGGTCCTCCTTTCAGACCACAGAGGGTTCTGGATCTGAATGGCTTTGCCCTGAGTACACCATACCCCCATGCTCATCAGGGATGACCATCCCCATTCCTCAAGGGGAAACTGAGGCACAGGTGCTCTGGGATGTGACCCCAGCTGTGTCTCCAAAGCCTGGCCATGCTCTGCCTCCCTCGACAGCTACAGCTGGGTGGAAGGACCAGGGCACCTCAGGGTCCTGAGCACAAGGACCACAGACCTTGGATAGAGGAGCCTGTGTCCTTGCCTCAGGCCAGCCATTGGTGGCTGCAAAAGGCCAAGTCCAGACTCTGGCTCCTGGGTTTTGCATGAGGCCACAGCCAAATCGCCAGCACTGCACATTACAGCTAAGAAGCCACCAGGAGCCATTCACAGCCTAGCACTGGATGTCCCTACATTCACAGGGAGCTGCTCTGTCCCCGGTGGGAGGAAGGAACTGGCCTCCCACCACAGCCTTGTCCTGGAAAGGGCAGCAATGGGGCCAGGCAGCGTCTGTGAAGGCAAGTCCCACACCACACAGTGAGTGCTGCGCTGCGGGAAGAGGGGGTCTGTGACAGGCACCTGCAGTGGGAACGCAGACCTTGAAGATTCCTGGTCCCGTGGCCAACACAAAGCAGGCAGGGGAGGAGCCACAGGGGGAGGGGCCTCATGCAGAGGTTTCCTCTGGGGGGAGCTCCCTCCACAGGTGGGCTCCACAAACCCTCTTCTGCAGCAACTGCAAAAGCCAAGAGTGATCAGAGAAGCCGCCCAGGGTCTGATTCCACAGACAGGAAACATCTACAACAGGCAAATCCATAGACACAGACAGTGGGGGCTGCCAGGGCCTAGGGGCAGCAGGGAGCAAGGGCCCATGGGAACGGGGTTTCCTTGGGGCTGATGAGTTGGAATTAGACAGTGCTGATGGCTGTGTAACATTGTGAATATACTCAAAACCACTGATGGTAGAGTTTAAAAGGGGGAAAATTTATATCATGCATACCTTAATTAAAAAAAAAAATCAAGAGCCAGGTATGGTGGTTCACAACCATAATCCCAGCATTCTGGGAGGCTGAGGCAGACTGCAAATTCAATTCCAGTCTGAGCAATTTATTGACTTGGTGAGACTGTCTCAAAATAAATAATTAAAATGATAAGGCCGGGGGCCGGGGATTTAGCTCAGTGGTTTCACCGCCTGCTGTGCAAGCACAAGGACCAGAGTTTGATCCCTGGTACCAAAAAAAAAAAAAAAATGATAGGGCTGGGAATGTCAATCAGGAAAAAGGCCCTGGTTTCCGTCTCCTAGTACCACGATAGGTAGATAGGCAAGTAGACAGACAGACAGGCAGACAAGCAGACTGAATAATAAAAAGTGAGGACTTTGTCTAGAGGCCACAGTACACCTCCCAGGCCACCTCCCAGCTACACCCTTCACCTGGAGGGTGTGTTTCCCTTTAAAAGTGGAGCAGAAAATCTAGAATACAAGTGAGGAGCACCTGAGCCCCCCAGGTAGACAGTGTGTCCAGACATGCATGAGGGGCCAGCAGAGCTCAGAGGCAACATGGCCACGGGGAGGGGGGAGATTCGGGACAGACACAAAGCCCTCCGGTGCCATTTCCCAAGGCAATCAATAGTCTCCTCGGAGCCCCAGCCCCTCACTTTTTAAACGGTCAGGGTCACCCCTAGCCAGAACCAGACATCTAGTAAACACGGATTCGATCCTTCACTTAATCTCAATTCTGGAACTTTTCCTACAGGCCACAGGTCCTTCACATCATGGTCACTGCCTGGCAGGAGAGGCGCTCTCTAACAAAAGCTTGCTGGGCTGGTGTGGTGCTCGCCTGACAAGTTGGAGGCCCAAGATTCCCGCCCCAACCCCACAGAAATAAATAAAAATTAAAAATGCTTTCTGTTGAAAGCACTGATGACCCCTGGAACGTTTTCCCCTTTTCTGTATTAGTATAAGTTTGCGACACGTGACAAGTATATTCATCATGGGAAATGGGCGCATATTCGCGTTGCATCTTAATCTACAATGACTGCTGTGCAGCAAGGTGCGTGGCGGAGGGACAAAGAGACCCTCCAGGCTGTAAGTGAAACCCTGGCTGGCTCGATTTCTTAGCACTAAAGTTCATTAATTAGGGAAAAAGAAATAAACAACTGACACCTGTATATCTCCTGTAAGCCCAGCGCCTTTCAGAGAGCTAGGCATAATGATCCCCCTCCCAGACGGGGAAACTGAGGCTCGGGCTGGAGAAGCGGCCCAAGCCAAGCGGGTCAGGTCGTCAGAAAGTGACTCCTTGCTGTATTTCTCTTAAAGGAAGTTCCCAAAGAAAGTCTCCAAATAAGTCCCCGTGTGTCTGCAGGGCCCCAACAGGGACGCGCTCATTGTCACCGCCTCCGCGGGGGCGCAGCTTTTGCGGGGCTCCGCCGCCCACCTCCCTTCCTGGCCTGACAGATGCTCGGTGCTGGGCTCCGGCCTGACGCATGCGCACTGCCCAGCGACACGCCCACCGCCCCTCGCGGGGACACAAAACCGCCGCGCACGCCCCGCCCAGCTCGGGGACCGCGCGCCCTGCCCGCCGCCGCGTCCCAGCTGGGAGGGCTGCAGACTCCGTGTTCTCAGCCGGAGAGGTGGCCCGGAATACACTGTACGGGAGAGCTCTATTTTTCTCCCTACTGGTGCCTTTCAACGGATACATTTTTTTAAGGCGAGAACTCCTACTGATAGTGCAGAAATGAGTCATAGATCAAGGCAGGAGACAGACAGGGAGCCAGCGCGTGTGAGCGAGGGACACTGGCAGGGGAACCTGACAGTCCCCGCGCCCCCTCCCCCCATGCCAAGACATTAATTCTCACAAGTCGGAGAAAATTACTATGCATGAATGCAAAAAGCATGATCAGGAGTAATTAACATGGCTTCATATGCAAATTTTATTAATGCAGAAGTACAAAGTCATTATGCAAATGAAACTTACGTCAACTCTCTTGACAAATATTCATCTCTGAGGCTCAAGTTTCTCCCTTTTTTATTTATTTAATTTTCTCTCCTGTCCCTCCCCCTTCTGTAGGAGTTTTTTGGGGGAGGGTTGTAGGGGGCGAGAAAGACCCAGGGAAAGGGTGGTGCCGGCGGCCTCTGAGGTGACAGCGAGGCACAAGGACTGTTTGACAAGTTTGCAAAGTTGTTTTTCAACCAGAGAAATTTACTCTTGCATTGTTGATTTTTGGGGGAGTGGAGGGAGGCGTCGTTGGCAGGTACAAGACAGCTCATAGGAGAAGGGGAAAAAATTTAAAAAATAGAAAGCTCTAGGCCGCAGCAGCCAATCAAAACGCCAGAGCCTGTAATGAGGGCGATTGATGGTTGTTTGGCTTTTACTGCAGGCTAATGAACTAGAATCCAG